GAGCAGCCAACCCAAGTATTCCCGTCTGCTTGGCATATTTCTCCCTGAAAACTAGTAAATTGTCATTCTGGTGTGTTTGTTTGTTTTTCTTTTTCGTAATATGCCCAAAGCCATATAGCTTTATAACAGTGAAGTCAAAAATCAAACCAAGTCTCCTGATTATTGAAAAGGTAGTTATTTGGAATGCTTTGGTGGAAATATGAAGAGTTCTGTTTTTTAAATGTAAATTCTGTAAATCCTTAAGAATTAGTATATCTGATTATGGCCTTAGATGTAGGATAAGAAAAAAATTCTGTGGCTTCCTTAAAAGGGACAATTGGTCCCATGGTTCCCTCCTCACTATGTCCTTTTTCCAAGAATCTAAGTCTCTGTCCAAAATCAGACACACTTAGATTTTTGCCCATTAATGGTAGTTTTAGAAAAAAAAAGAAAGAAGAAACTGAACAAATTAAATTTCCTTACAGTCTGGCATGTAATTTCTTTTAGCTTTCAAGATTGTGAACACACACCAATTTAGGAGGCTGCATGACTATCCCCCAAAGACATTTTGAAATAGCTAGAACAGTCCTCAAATCTGATCTCATTTTCCTCAGTCATTAAAATGTAGATCTATGTCAGGAGGCCCACAGAACTCCATGGTTAAGAAATCCTCAAGTTCGCTTTCTACCTATAATTAAAGCACATCTTTCTTTTTTTGTAAAAGAGATTTTTTTTCTCATTATGAGCAAAGCAAATCACCTTCATTAAAGAAAATTCAGATTTTTTAAAAAGAAGAAAATTTAAATCACCCATAATTCCAGTTAATAGATATATTTTAGTCTTTATTTTTATGCATACATTTTTAAAATAAGTTTATACTTTACATACCGTTTTATAATTTGCTTTTCTCATTTAGCAGGTTTTAATAGTTTTCTGTGTCATTTAATCGAGAGCTACAATATTTTTAGTGATTGCATAGTACTCCATAGTACAGAGTATTTATTGTTAAAATTATAATAATAGTTAACATTTACCATGGAATTAATATATACCAGGCACTATATGAGGAGCATTCCATGCATTATCTTTCAATAACTTTATCGATTATAGATATTAACATCATCTCAATTTTATAGCTGAGAAAACTGAGGCTCAGAGAGTTTAGGTAACCTGCCCAAGTCACACACTTAGCAGGTTGCACAGACACTGTTAGAACTCGTGACTGGCAGACTTCACATTTCCTCATTTTAGGTACTGTAATCTACTCCTTGCCTTAAAATGAATATAGTCAGTTCACTTTCGATGGATTTTTAGGTTATTGCCAATTTTTCACATTTATACACAGTCTGGCAATGGACAGCCCGGTCCCCACCATCTCTCCTTGTGGCTAAGTGTAGGTTCTGGAGGCTCTCCCATTGTTGTCCTGATAGTTTCCTTGCTTGCTGTTTCTATCAAGCCTACACCTTAGTTACTACTTCTTTTGCAAACTGTTTTTCTTGTTGTTTATATAGTACCGGTAGTATTCAACCCCACCCCAACATCTAAATGAAAGGCACAAATGGAGAAACTTTTAAGTGTAGGGGGTAAATTTTAAATGTCAAATGCGAAGTTTAACTAGTAAAGTTGGAATCTTATTTCTACTGATGGCTTTTCATGATGTTTTTTCTTCCAGTACAAGCTACTGTTTGTTTCCTCTTTTGAAAGAGAACTTTGCTTGATCACTGTATATTTCATTAGCTTCTCCTGAGAACCTAGGCTTACCTTAAACTAAGGCCCAGTCGAGTGCTTTTCTTCTTTTTTTAAATTATTTTTGAACACGTGTCTAGGCAGCAGGCTGATGGAGTGCTTGGGTTTAGACAGACCTGGGTTGTCCCCACTCTGCCATTTACCAGCTGTGTAATTTTGGTTGTTACTAACCTTTTTGGGTTTTTTGAATTTCCTCATCTACAAGATTGCTCTGAGAACTAAATAAGGTCGTATATAAATAGTAAATGTGATGACGTTTGCAAAATGCCAGGCCAAGTGACCTGCACATGGTAGGTCCTAATGTAGGTGTGTTGGGCCATTCAAGTTACAACCCAAACCCTAAGTCATACAAGATGGATAGCAACAGGCATCAGCCATCTAAGGCAATGACTGGATAGAATCACTGCTGACTATATTTTGCACATTTTTTAAAAAACAGTAAAAGCAATGTCAACTTTCATTGTTCTCCTGTACTTGAAATTATTTTCTTACTTCATTAAGCTGACTTAAATTTAAAATCACGAATCCACTTGAGTTTTGTTAATACTTTTTACTTTTTTTGTGTGTGTGTGAGGAAGATCAGCCCTGAGCTAACATCCATGCCAATCCTCCTCTTTTTGCTGAGGAAGACTGGCCCTAGACTAACATCCATGCCCATCTTCCTCTACTTTATGTGGGATACAGCCACAGCATGGCTTGACAAGCCGTGCGTCGGTGCGCGCCTGGATCCGAAGCCAGGCTGCCAGCAGCGGAGTGCGCGCACTTAACCACTACGCCACAGGGCCGGCCCCTTGCCAATACCTTTTTTAAATTAACCGGTTAATTAATTTAATTTAATTTAATTTAACTGCTTTAACTGGCTAAAGTCTTAAAGATTTTATTTATTCATTTTTTTCCCCCCAAAGCCCCAGCAGATAGTTGTATGTCATAGGTTCACATCCTTCTAGTTGCTGTACGTGGGACTCGGCCTCGCGCTGGACGGAGAAGTGGTGCCTTGGGGCGCGCCCGGGATCCGAACCCGGGCCGCCAGCATCAGAGCGCGCGCACTTAACCGCTAAGCCACGGAGCCGGCCCATAACTGGCTAAAGTCTTAAAGCAAACTAGATCTTTTCACGTGTATTCCAAATGTGGACACGCACTGACATGGCCAGAGGTGATCAAGAGGTTAGCTCATCAGCAGAACTTGAAGTCCTCCTATGTCCCACACTCTATCTTGCTTCAGAGTTGCTTTGTAACCAGTGACAGGGCGTGTCACCACCTCCCTTTATGGTCATCTTCTGCTTATGGAGAACTGTAATGGTCAGATAATTGTTTATTAACTTTTCGAGATGTTGAAATATAAATGCTACCAACTTGGAAGACAATAGTCATTACTATGGAAGAGCTTCATGTCGAATGGAGGATAGGGGGGCATTAAGCTCCCTACCCAGTTCACTGTGCTTACCCAGGACTTTCTACTCCAAGTGTTGCTGCCGAGCTGGGGAAAAGAAGATGAAGTATAGACATTGACAGCACCTTTTAATTTTGACCTCACCCTATGAGCTCATTTAAATCACCTAGGATGCTCATTGTTTAGATGGATCAAATCTCTAACATCAGATGGAAAAAGAAGTCTCTTGAATAAGATAAAGGAGGAGGAGGAAAACATTGCATACAACCAAAGCATTAGAATATAAAGTCAGTTCATATTAGACCTTTCTACTGTTTCTCCGTTGTTTGTTTTTATTTTTTCCCCAGTAAAAATCAGGAGACCTTTTTCTATCTGGAGCCTCGTTGTGAAACCTTGCATAAGACTTAATGCCTGTGGACCTTGGTTTTCTTATCTGTTCCTTCCTGCATTTCTATGGTTCTGTGCTTCCACGTGCCTAAAGCTTTTAGAATATAAATATCTGCTGATTTGAAGAAACATTAGGACAAAACATAGAGTCATTTGAGCTTCCCAGGAGCCAGGGAATCATCCATGTACAATATGATTCTTTTAAACAAGTTCTCTCAGTATTGAATTTTTCCTTTCCCCAAGAGCTCTATAAAAATAACGTTTTCTTGCCAGAGACATGAAGGCCTCAGAACTACTGCCTTCTTTCTATGAACATATTATATGGTTTGTGTTTGGCTTAGGATCTTTTAACAGACAGCCCAGCTCGTTTCTGAGAGGCTGACTCAGCAGAACTCCTTCCCCACATTCCCGCTCTTTTCAGGATTAGAACGCCCATTCTCTGCCAGCTTCGGGCAGGCTGGGCTGATACTGCCTCTCTTCTCCTGGATATATCCAAAGGGGAAGAGACGCTACAGCATTGCTTCTTTCTCCGTTTTACTATAGATGTTTTCCAGAGCATTTCCCCTCATTCTCCGCAGGTTGTTAGAGCTTGAGCCAAGCAGGTCTGCTTTTGGTCCATGGCCTGGTCAAGGACCACTCAGGTCTCTCAGTGGTGCTCTTCCCCTCTGCGCCTGCCATCCACGTGTCCCTGCGCCTCTTTCCTGCCCTGTTTCCCATGTCGCTCTCTTACCCCCTAATCTGCCCCTCATGTTTGCAGAGATCCTCTTTCCTTTCCCTTGATTGAAATCTGGACGTAATCCCAAAGGTTTTAGGAGTAAAAGTCTAATGTTTTATTATGGAAAATTTCAATTAAACACAAAAGTGAGAAAATAGTGTAATGAACCTCATGCACCCATCACACAACTTCGCTAATCTTGTTTCATCGACTCCTCCCAACCCTAGATTATTTTCAAGCAAGTCTCACATGTCGTATCATTTCTAGTTTTCTTTTTTGAAAATCCCCAACTTCTCCCAATTTACTAGAGAAAAAAGCATAGGTTAACTCTCGTCCAGGTTTCATTTTATTTAGCCCAGCTTCCCCTCTGATCTCCCAAGCTGCCAATCTGCTCAGAAGTAGATGTCCCTCCCCTGTTCTCCCACAGCCCCTCTCTGGTAGAACAGCTGACAGAAGAATATGATCCAGTTCATCTGCCTGGTGAGGTTCCTTTAGAAGCTTGCCACTTGTATGGGAAGGGAAGGCTAGTTCAAGCACGAGGGGGACAGGGTAGGAAAAGGTGCCTGAGTCACACCTCACTGTCAGAGATAAAGTGGGTTTACTTGTTTTTATTCACAAACAGCCACTACAGGCTGAGTAAGACAGATTCCTCAAAGCAAAATGGCAGCTGTGATAGCAAGCTGTGGCCTAATTTCTACTCCCCCTGCCCCTTGCTTGGTAGCAGGTAAGGCTGTCCTTCTGTGAAGGATCTAAAGGCTTGTCCTGCCCTGTCTCCATTTTCAGATGCAGTGGCAGAATGTGGAGCACGTTGGTGACCAGAGCCCCTACGTCACGTCCGTCATTCTTCACATTAAGCAGAACGTCCCCATCATCCGTGACAACCTGGCTTCCACGCGGAAATACTTCACTCAGTTCTGCATTAAATTTGCAAAGTGAGTCCTGGAACACTCTCGTCACTGGGTTATTTTGAATGCTATACTTGACCGCCAGCATGCCCACAATCCAGGTGTCCCCACCATCCAGCTGGGGCTTATTCTGGCGCCTACAGGCAAACTAATTTTTTTGTATCTCCAAAGGAGCATAGTAATAAAACTAAATCTGCCACTTAAAGTCATAGATAACAGTAACAGCAATACAACCGTGAACCACATCAAGGCAAACAAAGATGAATTGGGGGGAGTCCTGTTATTTTTAAGTGGACATAACAGCGCCCCTGCCTCCCCCCAGGTTTGGATAATTAAATTATTTTTCAGTGATTTCATGTATGTATTTTGTCTCTCCAACTAGATTATAAGCTTTTTTAGAGTAGGCACCATCAGTTCTATTTCTTTTGAGCCTTCTCTTCCTCCTTCTCTATAGTCCTTATTACTGTGGCTGCCAGAATTGATCCACTTGTGGATGTGCGTGAGTCCAGGGAAGGTACTGAACATCGGGAAGAGCAAGTCAGGGAGCTCTGTTGCCAAAGTAGATGAAGTGAACACTGTGCTGTATGTCTTCCTGCCACGTCCTTGTGTGTGGCCATTTCTGGCTTGATGTTCTGAAGCGAGGAAATAGTTTGGTCCTTTGCCAGTCAGCATCTGGCTGTAGCATTGTTCTTCCTGAGATCAGGCAATGTAGAGGGTCAGTGCCTCCTCTGACCAATTATCAAAACAAGCCTTTTGGCAAACTTCTCAGGGAAGGGCTTCAGGAAGGTCAGCCCAGTCCAAGCTACTGTATTTAGGTTGTTCTCATCCAAGTCCCAAAGGTGATTTCGCACTCCAAGTTTCTGTCTTCCCCAGCTCTCTCCCAGTTTGTATTCAATTAAGGCTTTCCCTCTCCCTCACAAATAAATCCCTGAGGAACAGCAGTTATGGAGTGGCTTGTGGCGTTAGCTTCAGTTTCCAGTTTGTCAAGAAAGGCTAAAGTGGACTCTCCAGGGAGGCCTTCATGTTTGCAGTATGGCAGATGAACCAGGAGTTGACAGTCCCCTCACTCTCTGGGTGCTCATTAGCGTGAGTTAAAAGCAGTGCTGATAAATCACATTGTGACACTCCCCATAACTCCTGGTAGAAACAGTGTCTCTGTAAAAATTTACTGTGACCAAAAATCTCCAGTGTGGTTGCACAGCGGTCTGATTGAGCTAACGTTAAAGTGAGTAAGGGGTCCATTTACTTAGCTAGTCCCAGCATCCGCCCCACAGTCTCTCCAAGCCCTTTAATTTTATTACTAAGCCCGTATTGGGTGAGCTGGGAATATGATGCCCATCTCTTACATCTGGAAAAGTTTAACCTGTGATCTAGAAAGCAGTTTTCTGACTTAATCCATGGTACTCTCTCCTCCTTGTAAAATCCCAGCCAAAGACTAGAAACCTCAGAGAGGGGACTGTGAGAAACCCCTTCCCCAGCCAAGGGCAGTAACCACTGCCACCTGGATGGCCTGGAGAAGCCCTTGGCAGTTACCCATCGAAGACATGTCCCTGGTCCCTGTATTTTCCCCACTCCACCCCGTATAGCCTAGCACACAGAGCCCGTTCAAGGGCACAATCGAAGCCTGCTCGAGTGTGAAGTAACTTAGGTTATAAACTGTGTGTACCGTTGTGAATAGGCATGAATTCAGTCTCACGTTACTTGCTTGGCCTGGCTCTGGTTTAGAGCACTGAAGAATCCCTCCTAAATAGTCCCTTGTTCTCACTGCCTCCTGATCAGCAGACCTTCCCCTGATCTGATCTCTGAAGTTTACATTCCTTTCCCCTTAACTTCCTTTCCTACCCTAACAATGCAAAGCCATAGATGTTTCCTTCTGCCTCCATTTGGTCTCTGAAACAACAGCAGTCTTTGCTGTTTAGACATCAAGATCACCCCTCTGATTGAAACTGCTATTTGAACCACAAATGACTTCCCTCATCCACTAAGCTGATTGAATGGAGGAGTCCATTCAATAATGGAGATAATAAGACAAATCTTTTAATAGTGGTTGGGAGGATAAAATGAGAAGTCATGTAAACTTCCTGGTAAAGTGCTGGTACCAAGCTGACATTCAAAAAGTGGTAGCTGCTACCATTATTATTTGTTTTATTATTTATTCAACATGTAGTCACCTGAGCACCTGCTATATCCCAGACACAGAATTAAGTGCTTTGGCTTAGTAGACATGGCTCCTATCTTCATTTGCCTTATAGTCAAGTAGATGGAAATAGACATGTAAACAAATAAGTATGAAAGTAGGTTATATGTTAGGCTAGAGATCTGTGGCCTCTATGTAGAGTATGGTGGAGGTGACTGAGGAAAGGCGTTACAGAAGAGATGTCCTTTAGCAGAGTCCAAGAGATGTGTGTGTACCGACCCACATGGCCGTAGGAAAGGGCATTCCAGGCAGAGGGAGCAGTGTAAGCAAAGGCACAGAGGCATTAAATAGCCTGTAGAATCATGAGATTTGCAAGTAGCTCGACCCGGTTGAGGCCAGGGCTTGTGTGATGAGGCTGGGGACAGAGAATCAAGATGATCAAGCAAGGCCTTGTTTGCAGCCATTACAAGAGTTTTAATCAGGGGAGGGTCTTGATCATATTTACATTTGAAATAAATCCCTTTGGCAGCTGATGGGTTAGTAAGGATGAGGCTGAAGCAGGGAGACCAGTTAGGAAACAATTGAAAGAGCTCAAGTGAGTAAGATAAGGGCGGTAGCAGTGGGGATGGTCAGGAGGGGTGGATATGGGAGTTCAGGGAAAGAGCTGGGAACTGACTGGATATTGGGGTTGAAAGCGAGGGAGCAGTCTTGGGTAACTCCCGGTTTCTGACTTGGGTGACTGGGGAGATGAGATCCAGTCTGCTGAGCCTGGATTCGGACTGGAGCTGAGTCTTGGATATGCTGGGGTTGAGGTGCCAGTACCACTCCAGGGCCAGGGTCCATGACCAAGGCAGGAACAGCGGCAATAAAGCAGGATTTGGAGGTCGAGATAAAGGCTGGCTAGCACCCTCCTCTCCTCACTCTGCCAATGCTGCTCTCAGGCTTGTGACCTCCATCCTCTTCAATCTCTCTATGTCTTTTCCTGTACGCTTGTGCCCGCTCTAATATCCGATGATGTACTGGACATCACTGGACCCTGTATTCTCCTGGTCAGTTCACTCTGGATCTAGCCTTGATTACATGCTTTTCTAGTTCCCACCCCTTCCTTTCTGCACCAGTACAATTCAGCTTTCCTTACTCAGGCCTCTGCAATTTTTTCTAAAAAGCCCTCCTAACATATTAGAAGTACGTTCTCCCTTTCCCCAAACCAGCATCATCAGTCTGCCTGGTCCAGGTCGCTCTTCTGTCCCCAGTAAATTTTTCGGAGGTCATATATTTTGTTCCTTGATCAGACCATTGCTCCTTTAGCAATTATTTCCTATTTTTGCATTTAAGATCCCATAACTACCTCTATCCCACTATCATATCTGTTAGGATGTTTTCAGCTACTAGTGGTAGAAGCCCTGATTCAAACTGACTTAAACAGAAGGTGAATTTTTTATTTCCTATACCCAGAAGTCCAGAGGTAGAATAGATCTAAAGATGTTTGATTCAGAGGTTCAGTGATGTCATTAAGGACCCAGCTTCTTTACCCTGCTCTCCTTGGGGCTGGCTTCATCATGAGAAGGGTGGTAAAATGGCAGCTCTAGATGTTACATCCAAACACAATACGCTGAAGAAGAAGAGAGTCTCACCCCAGCCATGCAATGAAGTCCTTCCCTCCAATCTGATTGGGCCGGCTTAGATCATGTCCCCACCTCAGGACCAACAACAGTCACCAAGGGAATGCCATGCTCTGACTGGCTGGGCTAATTGGAATTCACCTCTGTAGTTTAGGAAGGATCAGCTTTTCCCTGGCATCCCAAGGCCACAGATACTTAAATAAAACCAGGGCTTTGGTTGGAAAGAAAAAGAAGGCAATGGATGGTGGTAGGCCACATTGTGTCTACTTCCATTCTCAGTTTTCTTATAGAAGGAAGTAGGGCTTTAATAAAAAGGTTTTGCTGTTTTTTACCAAAGAGAGAATAAGCCTAATTTGTCACTTCTTTTTTATCCACAGCTCCTTCATTCCCAAGTTCATCACCCACATCTTCAAGTGCAAGCCAATTAGCATGGTGGGAGCAGAACAGGTGAGATGATGGGGCCGGCCAGGTGGCGTAGCAGTTAAGTGCGCATGCTCTGCTGCAGCAGCCTGGGGTTCGGATCCCGGGCACTCACCGATGCACCACTTGTCAAGCCATGCAGTGGTGGTGTCCCATATAAAGTGGAGGGAGATGGGCACGAATGTTAGCCCAGGGCCAGTCTTCCTCAGCAAAAAAAAGGAGGATTGGGGCTGGCCCCGTGGCTTAGAGGTTGGGTGCGTGCGCTCGGCTGCCGGCGGCCCGGGTTCAGATCCCGGGTGTGAACCGACGCGCCGCTCCTCCGGCCGTGCTGGGGCTGCGTCCCACATGCAGCAGCTGGAGGGATGTGCAGCTATGACAGACAGCTATCTACTGGGGCTTTGGGGGAAAAATAAATGAATAAAATCTTTAAAAAAAAAAAAAAAAATGGAGGATTGGCGACAGATGTTAGCTCGGGGCTAATCTTCCTCACAAAAAGAAAAAAAAAAAAGAACAGGTGAGATGAAATTGGTATTGGACCTTTTCCTTACAGCTTTTGTCATAGATCAAACACATATCTTTCTAGTACAGATCTACTCCAGAGAAATAAAATGACTGATTTCTCCTGTTTGGGGACAGAATGATGACCTAGCAGCTTAATTCATTCATCTATTTAATCAAAATATTTTTGTTGAGGGGCCAGCTTGGTGGCGCAAGCGGTTAAGTATGCACGTTCCGCTGCGGCGGCCCACGGTTCGCCGGTTCGGATCCCGGGTGCGCACCGACGCACCGCTTGTTAAGCCATGCTGTGGCGGCGTCCCATATAAAGTAGAGGAAGATGGGCATGGATGTTAGCCCAGGGCCAGTCTTCCTCAGCAAAAAAGAGGAGGATTGGCATTGGATGTTAGCTCAGGGCTGGTCCTCCTCACAAAAAAAAAAAAATATTTTTGTTGAGCACCTGCTAACTACCCAGGCATTGCTCTTGGTGCAGGGTATACCACAGTGAACAAGACAGAAAAGATCTCTCCTTTATGATGCTTACGTTCTAGTAAGAAGAGACAGATAATATACAAGTTAACCAATAAATTAGAAGATGATTTTAAGTATGCTAACGGGTATAAAACTAGGTTATGTGAAGGAATATCTTAGGGGCCTTGAGGGGAGTAATGGTTTTAGATTGGATGGTCAGAGAAGACTCCTCTGAGACCTGGGGCTTGAGAAGGACTAGAAGAAAAGTGTCCAGGCAGAGGGAGCAGCAAAGGCTCTGATTATCTTGGATCCCCTAGTGGCTGGGGTAGAGACCACTTAAGAGTAGCAAGCAAAGAAAGGCTTATCTTTTTGGTACTGAGAAACTCAGTTCACCTCACCCAAGAAGCCTTCCTTGATTAACCCACTCAGTTCCCTTGAATTCTGCGCTTCAAGGCATCTCTTCATAGATTGTATCACCTCCACACTGATGCGTTGAGTCGTATGCCACAGCAAAGTCGCCTGTTTTCACCTACCACCTATTCAGACTATCTGAAATTTGAGCAGCTTGAGTTCGGAGAACAATTTAAGCTACTTTTAAAAAAAAACAAACAGTAATATTCAGCTCCCAATTCTTTAAAAACACTGACGTAGATGCAAACTATTCATATACTGATCATAAATGCTTCTTATATATTCATTAAAATAAATCCTCTCTCGACTTCTAGCAACACTTAACCTATTTGAGTTACTTTTATTTTTAAAGAACTCAAACTACATTTTTAAGTAAGAAGATTATATAATTCAAGACATTTCCATAAATCCTGCTCTTTCACCAAATTAATCAATTTGGTACAGGCTCAGCCCTCTCCCAGCTCAGTAATTTGCCCTCACACTGAGCCCTCGGCTGTGCTGGCCCGAGTCATGCCTCGGGAAGACGGCAAGTTCGCGTGTGCAGTGCATCGTGGGTCTCTCATGATGCGTCAAAGCTAGAGACGTAAGACCTGTGAATATCAGGAATCTCTTGAATCTGATAAGTGTGGTGTGTTTTTATACTCTTTGTAAGTGAGTGGCCTTCCTAGGTTATGAAAAGGCAGTGTGGTGTGAGCATTAAGGTTGTGCGCTCTGAAATCACCGAGTTCTGAAGCTGAATCCTGTTTCTGCAATATAGCAACTGTTTGTCTTTAGGCAAGTTGCTTAACCTCCCAGCACTTTAGTTTCCTCATCTGTAAAATGGGGATAATCATCGTACTGCCTCACAGGGTAGCTGTGAAGATTAGCAAGATAACGCACATGAAGTGCTTGACACAGTGTCTGGCACGCAGTAAGCCCTCAACAAATGCTGGCTCTTTCTAATTTAAGCTTCCTCAGGTCAGGGACACGACTTTGTTTCTGCTTTCAGTGCCCATCTCCCCACATGGTAACATCTAGCCAGTGCTCGCCGAGGCTGTCTGGCTGACCAGCTTTAGCCAGAGTCACAAGTATTGTGTCAGAAAACTTCCTGGGTGGTTGTGTGGATTCAGACACGGACCAACTATGTCTGACTGTAGCGTTTCAGTGTTTTGAAATTCCTGACTCTTGCATGTCATAAGCATAGAACTAATTCTCTCCCTTGGAAACAGCAGCCTGATGCCCCAGCTTGTTTCCAGTTTCATTAGCACATGCTGACTGGGATTTCATTCTGTTTGCCTCACTGTTGTGTGTAATCAGAGAGGATGTGGAGTGATTACAGTCTGTGTATCTGAGAGAAGCTTTAGAGTTCTCGGTTACTAGGTTTCTGTCTTTAGACTTGATGAAGCCGCTGGAACAGACAGTGGACTCATTGGGAACATGTTTTCGTGAGTGCAGCTTTGCCCATCCTTGCTCTCTGATTTAGTGTCTAGTAACCATGATATTGTCATACCGTCACATAAATCCAATATCATATCTATTTTCCTCAGATTTTCTCTTCTTTAAAAGAATGTTAAAATAATTGGCTCACACTCAAAGCCCATATCTTCAGAAAAATATCGGTTTGGCCAGTATTTACTTCTTCTTTGAGATGTGGATGAGAAAACCATCTGTGAAACTGGAGTTTTGCTTTATCAGACCTCAGGCAAATATGAGTGGGTGATAGGGGAGTGGGGATCGCAACAGGCCCAGCCTGGGGGAGGGCGTGGGTGGGAACTACAGGGCAGTGTGGCCCTGGAAGGATTCCCATGTAAAGGTCGGGTTTAGCTGGGTCCGTGCTTGCCCCTGTCCATGCTTTCTGGGCTTAGAAACCCTAGCAGTCATGTAGCCGGAGGCGTGATGACTCAGGCAGCAGAACCAGAGGAATCAAGAAGTTAACAAAGAGATGTTCATAGACTGAAACAGATTCTGCCTCAAGTTGTGTAACAGCTGTAATCCAAGCTTTAACAAAAGCTGTAAAACTCAAAGCTAAGATTCAGCCTAATCTCAGCTGCCTCTGCTTTGCCACAAAAGTACTAGATCCTAAATTTAGATTATACTTTAATACTTGTGCTGAAAACAGGAAAGGAGACATTTTCCTGCTCTTTATTCTCTTCCTGATTACTATATAAAGTGAGTTATTTATCTGTGGGCCCCAGAGTCCTTTTGAGCAATTGCAAGGGCACGTGGAACTGAACCATACCCATATTTGTAATGCTTCTTGCTAGTTTGTGATTTTCAGAGAATCTTGTGGGATTTCCAGGGTCATTAATTAGTCTTATGGCCATGGCATCTGTGACTGAGCACACAGTAGAAATGGAATTCATTTGCACAAACTTACCGTAGAGGAAGCAGCACGATATGGTATAGGGAACAGGACCCTGAGATTTGGGGTCCAGTCCTCACTCTGCTGTTAATGGTCCCCGTGATCATGAGCAGTTGCTTCCCTGCTCCAGGCTCAGTTTCCTCATGTTTAAATAAGGGCACTGAATCAGACGTTCACATGCCCCTTCGAAATCTATCATATTATGGAGTCTAAAATATTTTGAGCAATATATTTCATGTCTATGAAGTTATTTTCTTTCTTTTTTTTTTGTATTATTTTTATATACCGTATTGACTTTTTTTTATTGTGGTTAAACATACATAACATAAAATTTACCATTTTTAAGAGTACAGTTCAGTAGTGTTAAGTACATTTGCATTGTTGTGCAACCATCCACCTCCAGACCTTTTTCATCTTCCCAAACTGAAAATCCATTCCCATTAAACACTAACTCCCCATTCTGTCTTCCTCCCAGCTCCTGGCAACCACCGTTCTACTTTATGTCTCTGTGAGTGTGACTACTCTAGATACCTCATATAAGTGGAATCATGCAATATCTATCCTTTTGTATCTGGCTTATTTCATTTAGCGTGTTTTCAGGGTTTATCCAAGTTGTGGCATGTTTCAGAATTTCCTTCCTTTTTAAGGCTGAATAATATTCCATCATATGTGTATACCACATTTTGACCATATTGACTTTTAAATTCACATAATTCAAAACCATCTGGAAAAAATATTTAAAGTGAATTTTAGATTTTTTTTTTTTAATGCCCAACACCAAGTAAAAGGAAAAAGAGAATCAGGTAATGTGTACCTCATGGTAGTTGGCAAAATGAGAAAGTAGGATGGTTATTCTCCAGCACAGTTCTTCTCGGTAAATCTCCTGAATGTGGCAGGGTGTTTTTAAAAGCACTCCTTTACCAAAAAAAAGTGAATTAATAAAACTTAATACCCATAAAGGATAGATTAAAAAAAAAAACCTTTGCAAACTAGGAGTAGAAGGGAAATTGTTGAATCTGAAAAAGGGTATATACAAAAATTTATGAGAGGGTATGGATTACATGGGTAAATCCATTTGTCAAAGTTGTACAATTAATAATTGTACATTTCAATGTATGTAACTTTTACGTCAGAAAAATTAAGTAAGGGATAGAGAGTGGTTACAGCAGGGTTTCTCAGCCTCTGTACTACTGACATTTTGGGACTGAGAATCTTTTTGTTGTGGGCTGTCCTGTGCACTATAGGATATTTAGCAGCATCCCTTACCACGACTCACTAGTTGCCAGTAACACCTTCCCAATTTTGACAA